ACCAATGAGCTATTGTATCTATTTTCTAGCTCAGTGCTTGGCACACAGTAGGAATTAATTAATTAATTAATTAATTAATTAATTAATTATTAATTCCTTATCTTGCTTTTATACAAAATGACAAAAGTTCATAATAGTCCCTTTCTTTTCTGGTCTCCAACAATATTTGGCTGGGATTAAAAAATTTAGTAATTATTTTTTATGGTCATTGAATTACTTAATGTCCTGCATCATCTTTAGATTGCTTACTGAAGACTGTCATCAAATCTTTCTTTTATTTTTATTTTCCACAGTTTATAGACACAGGCTGAACACGTAATAGGTGGTCAATAAATATGAAGAAGGTAAGCTTTATAAAGGAGAGTCAACATAACATATGAGGGTATTCCAAAGAGCTCATGCAAAGACTTATATTACCTATCAATCTATTTTTCCCTTAACTTTTTGAAGTACCATCCTAGTTTAAAAATCAAGTGGTATTTAAATTTGTTACCCTCATTTAATATTCATGTCACTTGGAAAGCTCTTATTCTTTAATTTCCTCATTAAAAAATGGGGTAAAAATTCCCACCCTGCAATTAGTTGCAATTTAGCAAGTTCACAATGGAAAGTTCACAATGGAATTCTTTAGCAGACTATCCTGATGAACAATGTATAAGATTTTTTTTTCTGCAGACAAAAGGCAAATTGCAGGCTGCCATGGCATTCAGTATAACAGTTCTTTCTGTATTATAAGGATTAAAACTTGTTTATATCCTAAATGAATAATCAGAGGATTTAAATTCTCTGGAAAATAATGGATCACACAGTCCTCCATTAAGACTGTGGCTCTTGGACCACATGGCAATGCTCAGGTACTGTTCAGACATCCTGAGAGGAACAGTACGAGGCTCTTGTGGACCTCTGACTGACATAAACAGTTGTGTCAAAACACAATTACACGTGCTTTTATTTGATAACAGGATGGTTATTTAAGGCCAAACCCTATAACGGCTGTCTCCTCATTGTAATCTAATCTCTGCTTCACCAGTTGAGATTGAATGTGAAATCCACAAACTATGCAATCCCTGCTCCACACAGCTGTCAGAATGATCTTCCTAAAAAACAAATCTGAATCATTGGGCTCGCTGCTGCACTTAAAATACAATCCAAATTCTACAGCTTGGAAATCAGAGCCTTTTACAATGAGGCCTCTGCTGCTTTCCTTTAAATTTATTCAACAAATACTGACTTCCTGTGTACTATACACCCCCACTGTGTGTCCAGATCACTGATTCTTCACTGTTCCCCAAACATGCTTTAAACTCTTCTGCTTTTCTGTCCTTGCCTGACCTGCTCGCTCCATCTGAAATGCAGTTGCTTCTAGGTGCTGGGTCAAAAACCTACCCGGATCCATTTCAAATACCAACTCCTTCTGCCAGCTGTAAGCACATAGTCCTCTAGCCATAGCTCCTTTCGTAGCAGATCACTAGCCCATCCTGCTTCTCTCCTCTTAAATTTTGTTCTTTTAGGGGTGAAGAGCAATGTCTTTAACTGTGGATTCCCCACAACAGTCAGCTTGCAGAATTGAATTGAATTAAAATCTTAAGAATAACCTCACACATTTGCCACATTCAGTTTATACATATCATTTACCATAAAAGTGATTTGGGTGAATTGGATCAAATGTTTATGGACTGACTGCTTGACCCCTATTAATGGTGGCTTCAGTAATGAATTCATCCCAAATTAGTGAAATTGCAGGGTTTGTAAACATGACCTAAGGAAAAAGGGCAAGAGAAATAGAGGAATTTTCATTTCAGATGTTTTATTTTAAATTTCGAAGCAATATTATTTTTTTAACCTGATGTGATTACATATTTATTTATCTATTCTCTTAAGATACAGTCCAATAGCAATAGTCTGTTTAAAGCATAACAACGTACATTGTATGTAGATGTTATATAAAGGCTATATATGAAAATTTGACTTGAGTTTTATTTATAAACTGATGGATGCATATAAAAGACATCAGTACAGTGCAACTAGTTGAAAAGTAAGGAATATCATTAAGTCATATTTTGACATCTATAAGATGCTAAATACCAACACGATTAGTATTTCTTTTTTTCCCCCCAGATGTCTGGCTGATTTATTTTACCCTATACAGTGGTAATGTACTAAAGTAACTTCCCTCTTTTCTCTTGTCATTCACCTTCATTCAGTCAAACACTGGCAGTCCCAGTGCAGTTAGCCTAGAAAGTGTTCCAATCAAAGGCATGCTTTATTCCTACTTAAGTCCCTGAATCCCACTTGGCTTTCTTGCTCTGTTGGGCTATGCTAGACCCCCAGTGTGATACCTCAAGGTCCCTTTGATGGCTTTCCTCTGAAACTCAGAGCAGACCTCAGGCCACCCCACTTGGCTCTCTTCTGAGTCTTGTCCTGCCCCTCTGACTCCCAGAATCTTGCTTTGGCTCCCAAACAGAAGGTTTCCACAATCCCCAGAGGGCCTTCCAGATCTACATTCTTTATAACGTTTTTATTCCTCTTATTAAAACATATTATTTCCCAGACATATTTCACATGAAGAAGGGCAGGAGAGGAATAGAATGCTGTTCTTTCTTCTTGCCTTTCCCTTGTTATACAGTGGTATTCTCTCCAGAGCATGTCCTTGAAGCCAGCCAGGACACAATCAGTGTTTGAGGTAATAAGAAAGGTGATGAACAAACTTAAAAAAAAAAAAAAAACTTTACAATTTTGAAGCTTCCAAATATTTTAAGTACATATGTATTTCTATAAATTATTTCAAAGATACTAAAAGTATATTTTAGCTTTATACCTTAAAGCTAAATATTTTTCTTACTTCTCAGTATGATAATTGGCTTTCTTCTTCTATCTTATAGTTTATTATTACTGTCTACAATCCAGAGCCTAATTTTCACATGGCTTGTAACTGTATGGGTTTGCATTAAGTAAGGGGCCAATTTTGCTCTTTCATGGCAAGAAGAGCATATATGCAAAGAGGGATACAGCAGATGTTATTAACTATCAATCTTGTGAAAAACATTGAAGGTATTCAGTGATACAAATGAATGACATCAACCTAAAGTGGTAATGTTTAAGGGACAAAAACAAGAAATCATATAATTTCACCAAGTCCATTAATTTCTCTATTGATATTTTAAAATAAAGAGGGGGCCTCCTTATAGGAAAAAAGGACATTATTCATTTTAGAAATATCATCAACCTAAAGTGGTAATGTTTAAGGGACAAAAACAAGAAATCATATAATTTCACCAAGTTCATTAATTTCTCTATTGATATTTTAAAATAAAGAGGGGGCCTCCTTATAGGAAAAAAGGCCATTATTCATTTTAGAAATATCTCTATTGATATTTTAAAATAAAGAGGGGGCCTCCTTATAGGAAAAAAGGACATTATTCATTTTAGAAATATTTTTTACTTTATATATCTGATCACTAAAAATGAATGTTTACAGATAATCCTAAGATATATTTTTGCTAGTATATTTTTTGTTGTCAAAATGTCATATTTTTGTATCATATTTTCCTGGTTCTGTTTTATATCATTCATATTATAAAATTCCTACAAAGGAATCATCAATCCAAGGTAAGGGCAGAAGGAAAACTACAAATTAGAGGCAAATAGGTTTACTTTAACATAATCTAAGTATTTTGCATATAACTTAGCCGCTAATAATTAAAATTAACTTATTTAATGAGATTGTAAACAATGCCATCTGTAATTGTTTCTTACTTATATAGTCTCTCCCATTAATTGCACAGTAAACCAGGATGAAAGGAATAATTTGGAAGAAAGGTATAATTTTGGTACATTGATAAATGCAACAAAGAGAGCTCATCTTTATTCTTAGGAATTTATCAACCTCTAAAGTGAGAAGGGATCTTAGAAATTATCTGGTCCAACTTTTTTGCTTTATTTCTCTGAGTTTAATGCTCAGGCAAATGAAGTGGCTGGCTTTATGTTACATAGCTGATTAGGGGTTGAGCTGGACTTGATCCAGAGAATTCCTGGCTTTGGGTCAAGGACTTTTTTCACTGTATCACATAACCTTTAAAATAAAATTTAATCCAAAGTGAGATTAAATGTCTGGGCTCGCTATAGCTATGGTTTTCCAGTGCTTCCCAGTGTGGTTAGAAAAGAATAAACTGATAGCAATAAGTATGTAACAGAATTTTAAACTGTATTTGCAGGCAAAATTTTATTTGAATTCATCTCTGTTACCAATATAAAAGGAAGATTCCAGCCCCAAATCTCTCCTTTTTTGCCACCCTAGTTCTACGTTCTTTCTTCGTCTCCCTCTGTCATCAGGTTACTCTTCTACACTTTAAACACGTAGTAGGGGAAGGGGACCTCTTTTCAGTTCTCTGTAGGGTTAAGACATTCTGTGAAGGTTCTATACAGTTTGGTTCAAAAGATTTCCCACTCCATTTGGTTGATTACCACATGATATATAATGTGAAAGATGATATTAAAAAGAAAAGATTTGGTGGACAAGAAACAGGTATGTCTGTAAATGTTTTCTTAAGGCATTTATGACTGTAGGTTGCATGTTTAATCTCTATAGCTTGTGAGAAATTAAGAATTGCCAAATATTACTATTTCTTGAGGAGGAGGACAGGCAGACTTATTTCATTTATTTATTGTATTATAGTTACTGTTTACAATGCTTTAAATAGTACAATAGCCACTTTTGTAGCAACATTAACTATTATTAAGAAATGTGTAAATACTGACGATATCAATCAAATACATAAAAGTGGCAACAAAACTATGCTCATATAATAAAGTATTCCCAATTTCTTACTAGTGATTTAAAAATAATTATTACTTTCAGTTTGATATAAAATAATGAAAGAAAATAATTGTTTTAATCACATTGATTATTTTCTATTTTTTCATAGATAAGAAAGTTTTTCTATTTGAGTCAAAATTTCTAAAACTATTATTATTTGAAAAATAAAAGTGTATTCACTTACGGCCCTGATGCTTTCAAAATGTCCACCTTCTTTCTCGAAATCAATAGGCTGTCCTTTTAGAGTCCAGTAGAAAGTCACATCCAAACTAGCATCGTGAATTGCTTTGCAATTAAGGACGACGCTTTCTCCCACTGTTAACTCCGTTCTTTTAGGAGTAAGTTCTATCCTTGTAGGTTCTATAGAAATAAAAGTACACTAATTAACATACTTATACTCAACACATAGCATTTTTCTGCATTAAACAAGGAATCTATAGACTACAGTTGCTCCAGATGCATATACCAGATTTTTCACATCTTTAAATAAACTGTTGTTAAGTGAAATATTAGCTTTTTGGGTGCTAGGGCATTTTACTATGATTTTGTAGAGGACTAGTAATGTGAGAGTCCCTGTTCCTATTGAGAAGTTAACTTAGACAAAAAGATGAGAGACTACATAACTAGAAACAGCATTTTGCATTGTGGGAGGAGGAACATCAGGAAAAAAGCTGTAGTCTCTGTGACCACCTTTAAGGTCATCAAGTAAATAAGCAGTAATATTTATTATACTAAACAATAAAGGTATATAAAAATTGCATTGGTGCAAACATCAATGAGCAGCTCTGATACCAGTTTATCTGGTGTACATCCATCCACTACGTGCTCATATCTGCCTTCGGCTACTCCTTTCTGCTCCAAATCCCCAGTTGAATTGGTAACAAGAATATACTACTTATTGATGCCAAAATTATTCTTTGTAGAGAAAAAATGTTTTTATACTGATGGCATGCTTTTAAATTTTGAGACACTGACTAAAACTTCAGAAATTTTTCTCCTCTCACAAATTTTGTCCAAAGCACAGTATTCAAATTTCTACCAATAAGGGGTTCCTTCCCTTATGGTCTCCTAAATGATGGAAAGTGATAATTTGGTTGCGTTAGTTCTATGTTTGTAATATATTTTATAAACAAGAGCATGCACACACACAATTTCAAACACACAAACACATGCATATTATACTTATTCTCTTTCTAATAAAGCCATGAAACTATACTTGTAGAACATTTAGCCACATTTTCTTACCTTTTACAGATACTGAAGCAATAATTTCAGCAGAACCAAAAATGTTTTCCCCTTGGCAAACGTACTTTCCCTCATCTGATTTAGAAGCATTTAGGACTCGTAGACTCCCGTCTGGAAGAATAGCTATTCTGAAAATTATTAAAAAAGTTTTTTTTTCCTGTTTTACTTTTTACTGCAAACAGGCAAAATGGTAAGAAACTCTGATGAAGTCTGAAACCACTTCTAAGGTAATAATAAATAAGATAAAGGATCACTGTAAAAAATATGTAGTGATAGTAGAAATGTTTTACCCTTCAAGAAATTATGCAATAAACCCACTTAATATCTTATTATATTCAAAAGGGTTAGGGAGTTACAGGTTATTTTTCTTTTGACAGTCTTTGAGAGTTAGTTTAAAACTTGTGGGAAAAGGTGACCCTGAATTTGGTTATTAAGGCGTGTTACTATAATATCACCCAGTGATATTTTAATATTAAGCTTGGGTATTTTACCTCAAACCAAAAGTGACCTCAAAAACCAAATATGAAAAGAAACAGCATAAAAACACTGAAGAGGACAAGTACAAAACATAAAATTAATTGTATACAGCCAAGAGATGATTTATGGTGGTTTCTCTATATTGCCACTGGTGCACAAGGGTATGAAAACACGACCTGATACCTGCGCTGCTTGCACTGCACTTTTTATTTTTTATTTTATTTTATTTTTTTTTTATGGGAGGTTAGTTTTTTTTTTTTTTTTTTTAAAATTTTTATTTTGTCAATATACACTGTATATGATTATTATGG